AACAACCTGCCCTCCGAGCGAATTGTAGTTTCCAAGGCTACGCCAGTGGACAACCCCCTGATCTGTCCCCCCCAGACCATACGGTAGGGCTCTGCTGGGACAGTTAAGAGCAAGGATTAGTGAGCTAACCAATATCACGATTCTCTCCTGTGTATTTCCATGGTCTCCATTACGGCCCAGAGCACTGCCGGTGCTGTCTGAGCACTTTGCAGTCATTTACGTCTTCTCCCTCGCAGTCCCCCACGAGCCGAGGTGCTGTTATCCCTGTCCTACACACAGCCGCGCTGTGGCTCAACTTCCCAAGAACCTGCGCAGAAATTCAAGGGAGAGGTTTGCCTGCTGGTCAGAGCAGCAATCTCCTTCACCCAGGATAATGGACTCCCTACCCAGCCTCCTCCTGTGCAGCTGAAGAAAAGAAGATGCTAAAAAGAATGCCTGAATAAGGAAATGATGATAACCAGGCTTGGGGGCCAAGAGACACCAAAACACAGCCCTATTTCCACTGCTCCTCCCCTACTCTCTGGGCTCTCCAGGTGAAGAGCATGGCGAAGGCGCTGTACAGCAAGCAGCCTGCTGCAAACTTTCTTCTTCTCCCATCACCCGGCTTTGCTCAAACCCCATCCTCAGGCTTCAGTCCAGGGGAAAGGCATCCACCGTGCTGGGCGGCACCACGGGCTCGCTGGAAACCTGCTTCCAGAAAGGGCCAGGAGCTCGGCCCGGGGCGGCCGGGCACGTCCCCAGAGCCCAGCTCCGATGTGCAAGCTCTTGGGCAAGGAGGGAGGTGCAGAGCTCGTCGTGTCCCTGGCCACGGTAACGGCGAATAACGCACGGGACCCCAGAGGAAGCAGAGAAAAATGAGGGGATGCTCAGGGCTCTAATAGGGAGGCAAAGGTCCCCGCCCAGGTAGGAGAAAATGTGCAATAAAATTGGCTGATTTGGCTTAACAGGTAATTACAGAGTTAATAAAACCAGGCTCCTTGACACGATAGGTCCTAACGATACAGCCTGTGTCATGGGCACTAAGTGACTTTTTACTTTGCTGATCATTGATCCAGCAGACAGTAACAGCTCCGAATTGGATCGATGCAGCTGTCGCACGCTGGCAGCAAGGCCGCGCGCTAGCAAACCGCATGAAATTTCACATGAAGAAGTTTACTGCTCTTGCACTGTGACCTGTTTGGAAATGAAACATCTGGCCATTTACCTCTCCTGCTTTTAATACAAAGATTAATCCATGCTATGAACTATTTGCCAGAAAGATCCATTTTATTTTTTAAAAAGTAGCATCGAGCTTTATTGCTGGAAGGGAAGAAGCAGTTTTTCTTGCTTGCAAAGTTTTATTTTAATAAAAAAAAATCTGGAGTTAATAGAAAACAAAACACACCCACCAGGACCGAGGACTACAACCTGGGCTATTTGTGCTCTGTCCTACCAATTCCCCAACCAAAACTTTTTAGTCTTCCATTTGAAAACAAAACCCGACAATTTTGACAGGAGGGGAGGTTTTCACGGGAAGAGCCCTTGCTGCAGAGAGCTTCCCACCAGCTCCCGCACCACCGCTTGAGCCCGAAGGGAGGCGCGGGCGCTGGAGGCTGGGTGCAGGCAGCCCCCTGAGCCTGGCGGCTGCAGGCCCTGCACCACGGCACTTTGGGTTCCCTCCTCCCTACCAGAGTTTCACAGGCACGGTGAGAGCCGAACTCCTTTTAACAACTTCTGCTGGCTTTGGCTGATGTCGGCCGGGAGGTTCACGGTCAGTGAAGGCCAGGACGCAGCACGCGGGCGGCTGGGGCGTGCGCACCAACATCGCTTCCCTCAGGAGAGCCGGATCAAAGCAAGTATCGAGATGACAAGTTTCTGGCATTTTAAGGGAGGAAAGGGTGCAGTTAACGTTTCTCCTGGTTTAATCTCTCCAGGCGCAAATTCCTGCGGGGCAACGAACAGAAGCACAGCCAGGGCCGAGGCCCTGGGGTCACCCCAGCTGAAGTCACTGGGACAGGAATGTCACCACGGCTCCCCCCTCGCTCCTCACCTGCTGCAGGGCAGCACACCTGTGGCTGGCAGCCCTTGCAGGTGGTTTAACTGCCGACACTAAGAAATACAGCTGGATTAATATTTAACAGTGCCAGCAGGGCATCTTTAAGCATTACGGTCTGTCAGAGGTTGCTTTAGAGTTACTCCAGCTCCAGAAGTTTCCACAGACCCAGTCACCCATACTCTGCCTAAGTGTGTATTTTGTGCTGCTGGAAAGAAAGCAATTCATCAGCACCTGGAATTCAGCGTGGCCTCGCATGAGCAGCTTGAACCTAGCTGATAGGAAGCACGGTCTGCTGGGGCGAGCACCAGACTGGAACTGGGGTGGCCGGGCCCGAGCCCCCCTCTGCCATGGAGACCCCCGCGGCCCTGGGCACATGGCAGGACCTCTCGTGCCTCTGCGCCTCGCGTGGGCAGAGCCGATGTGTACCCGTTTTGGTCAGCACGGTTAGAAGCCCGTGAGGAGGGTGGCTCCGTTTCACTGTGGAGCAACTGAATTGTTCGGAAGAGCTGCTGCAGTCTCACAGAACATCACTGGCAAAAATGGGGAGGAATCCCCCAGTTTAAGGAAAGAGCTGCCCTCTCTCTGAACAGGGCCCCGGTGCCAGCCCCCATGCCTGGCAAGCCTCGGTCACTGCTTCAACAGTGCTTCAATCGTTTTTAGAGCAACCAGGCACACATTTTCTCTGCTGGGATTCCACTAGCCTGAGCGATTGGGCTTTTTTGTTGTTTTTGAGAAACTGTTTCACAAACTTACCACTGCACCCGTCCTCAAAGATGGGATAAATACCGAATTATTATTTGGGACCCAGAACCAGCAATTGCACCAAAGCCAAAATACCAAATACTTCAATGCAAAGCCTGTAACTTTTTCTGACTGAACGAGGAAAAAGATATAACTCAGCAACCTTTGCAGAAGAAGCATATGAAGCTAAGCATACACTTGATAAACACATCTCCCTGGACCAGACCTATCTGTCTGGCTCCTGAATTAATTTCTGTGCCTGGCCGGGACAGGTGAGTGACTGTTACCCATTGCATCAGCTACGTCCCTCGAAGAAGACAAGCCTGTCAAATTTTTACGGCCTCCTTCGTAGAGAACAGATACACACACACACACTGGAGGACAAGAGAAACTAAAAACATCCAGTTGCTTTTTTACAAGCATTCTTGCTTTAACTAAATATTTGCAATATGTTTATACAAAGTGAGCTGCATGACCTTTTATAGAGAGAGCTGAACAAGCATTAACTCCACAGCCCTCACCACAAGCCATTCACCTACCGATTCCTAGGATCCCTGTAAAAAATGCAGTAATTATCTTCCCCCCTCGTTTTATCGATGAAGGAAAGGCAATGACTACTTGTTCAAACACATTGCCAAAGATTCATCTAAGTTGTCGTTTTTTTCCTGACTAAAAGATTTGAAAGGCACAATAAAGTGCAACACAAATACCAAAAAGCAATCAAATACAAATTATTAGCTGTTAGCATTATACAAAGCACCACAGACTCCACCCAGGCATGGGCACGGTATCAGATGTAGTTAAACAGGGATAGTTAACCTCAGTTGGAAACTGATTTTTCTGATACCAAACTGGTTTAAAAGAACCGAGTCCTCCCCCCTGCCGTCCAGTATAGCTCTGGCTTCCTGCTCCTTTAGCATACAAATGCACATCAGCATTTCAAGCTGATTTAACGGCACCATACGAGGGGGTGGCACACACCACGATGAACGGATTCAGAAACTGGACGCGAGCGACTGGGCTCTGTGGCTGGGTGTTTGCTCGGTTAGCAGTGCCATGCAGTTCAGGCTGCCAGTTGTGTGATGCACTCCTTCATTCACAGCCTCTTGGCTAAAATTGACTGGGACAATTTATTGCATTCCTCCTTTTGGGCTGCCCCTTTTGGAGCCAAAGAATATACCTCGGTAGGTACGCGTTGCTGCTCACATGGCCCTTGCTTACTAAGAACTAAAGGACTGTCAACATGCTGCATGACAGAAAATGCAATATCAGATATCGCACAAAAGGATGGTTAATCTCTAGAGTCCTTCAACTGTCTTATAAAAACTCCAATATATAAATAATATCAGTATGGAAGTGGAAGTCCCCGCAGAGCAGGGTCCTATCACGCAGCGTGTTTTATGTACACGTTGAAAAAGGCTGTCTATATTCAGAGGAGATTATATTTTAAACAGAAGATAATGAACCTCATTTTGCAGGTGGGGACAGAGGCATAAAGATAATTTGCACATGCAGAATTCGTTGCTACGCCAGACGCTGCGCTCAGATCCTTATAGGTCCTGTCCACTGCCACCGCCATGAAGCATCCTTTCCCTCCGTTGTTCCATGCCGTCATGTAGCGTCCCAAAGTTCCTCTAGAAAACAACCCAGGCTGTTACACAGCTCAACTGCTATTCTGGGGCAGATTCTGTGCTTGGTGGTACTGCTGCAACCCTGCTCACTTCAGTCTGGCTGCAGTGGAAAACCGAGCTAAATTTGGCCCTCGGGCACCTCCAAAAATAATTGGAGGTGAGAAAAACACAATAGCAACACACAGCTTTTAAAAGTATACATAAAATATTTAAAAAAATAGATAAATTATATATGTGTATACAATGCCCAGAGATGCCTCGATTTATACGATACGGTTTCCTGAGAGCAGCACAGCTCCAGGCAACAGAAATGAGAAGTCAAGCTGAACAGCAATGCTGTATCCCCGAGATTGTGACATCTTATAACAGGGAACAGAGGTGCCCCTGGGGCACTACGTAAAAATTATTACTGAGCAGCAAAACAACAATGTAAGTTAATTTCATTGAAATTAACAGTAGTTTCCTCCCCTTGAGCACATGGAGAGGTATAATCAGAGCGAAAAGGGGGAGGCATGTGTAAAGAGTCAAGTGGTTTGAGTGGCTGAATCGCACAGATGCTTTGGAGAGACTTAAAAGCAAATAAAACTATTTCAGGATTTTGGACGGATTTTATTTTTTTTTATGGAAATCTTAAGTGATTGTTCTCTAGCCTTTGGAAGCTTTAAAAAAGAAACCCTACCTCTTCTTTAACTACATTTTCCTTCACTGAGCCCAGACGTGACAGTAGGGCTGCCTGCTGCTGATGGAGCTGCTGTTTTCCATTCAGTAAGGCGATGGCAGCGGATCTGTGGTGTTTCCAACAGCCCAGGGATCTGACGTGCATCTGATCTACCAGTGAACCCTCTCCTGAAAAGCTTTGGTCCAGAAATGGGTTTTTGCATAGTGTAACTCCTGCTGTGAATTATTTGAACTAGATTACAATTATTATATTAGTACATACTTCTAAGGTGAGTTAGAACAGAACAGATCTGTTTTATGTTGGCACAATTTGTTTACTTCCTCTGAAGGCATTCTGGGACCAGTGCCTCCACATGCCTTCAAAGCACGTGCATCGGCAGAACAGCGCAGGAGCGCGTAGGCTTGCCTTTAATAGATGGAGGCTCTGACTCTTTAAAAACACAATCCCATTCAAAAAGTACTTACACACATGGTTAAGCCCTGCTGACTTAATTTGTTAAGTAAAGGCTGTTTTAAGCATCTGCTTAAATGTTTTGCTGCAATTGCGGCCACAGAAGTTGCAGGCTGGCATTGCTCAGACAGGCTCAGGACGGGTCGTGCGAGCCAGGCTTGCGGGTAGCAGAGCCGAGGGACCCGGCTCTGTGCTGGGCGAGCAACACCTTAATAAACACAACAAGCACCTGAAAGAAAAAGAAAGAAAGAGAAAAAAAACAACAGCTCTATAGTCTTAGTAAGCAGGGGAAAGTTCCTGTGGACAAAACGCTTTAACCCGCCCTGCCAATACAGAGCACCTTCCTCTGAAAACTTTGAGAGCAACTAAACCTCAAGGGAGAAATCTCACGGAGTGAAGACACCGGTGGTGTGAGGTCTCACCTTTTCCACCTAAACTAAAAGCCTCACCTCTGCGGGGAGATTTTGCAGTGCCCAGCCCCTCCCCAAAACCCTCCAAGAGCAGCAGCACGCACTCGGCAGCCCTGCGGCAGCTCCCCCGCGGCAGCCCCCACCTCCCCTTCTGTGCTCCGCTCTCGGGCAGGGGCAGAGGGGGCTCCAGACAAGGGCAGGGGGCAGTTTGCTTATTTCTTGTTTCTGGCTCTACGTTCCCGTCCTGACCTGGGGCCAGCTGCTCCGTGCCTCAGTTGACTCCTGCCCAAGGATGCCGAGGAGCCGGGAATCACAGCCTTGCCACCCTCCCCTGGCCGGCAGTCTAAAAAGCGCTTTACTACAAAGCGTTCTTCCTTAAACATAAGGATAAGAGACAAAACGTCCTCTAGTGATAATGAAACAAAAGGGAGAATACTCAGAAATTCAAAATGAAGACCAAAAGCCTTTCGTCTTGTCCTCCTGCTGAAGTTCAGTAATATATGAGGCAAGCAGGGTAACATATCACAGGCATCCAGGACATTTGTAATGCCAGGGTCAAAGTGCCACGCACAGAATTGTGCCTTCTCCCTCCAGGCACAAGTCTCCCAGGCAGATTTTCAGCTGGTGTAAATTGCCCAAACCCCATAATGAAGTTATGACAATTTACAACAGCTGAGGATCTGTTCATCTAATGAAGAGAAATACTGGGAGGAGGGAATGAATTAGTTTTAAGTAAGAGCTCATTGCAGAGCACACACAAACATCTTTAAGAGATCCCTGAGAACCATTCCCTTATCTAAAGAAACCAGAAGAGAAAGAACAACGACATCCCCTCCTAAGCAGTGGGATTTTTCTTCTCCCTTCAGCTGAAGGATGGAATTCAATAAAAGCTTCTCAGACACACAGGAAAAAAATGATCTACAAGTAAGCGAAGATGTAAATAGTATTAAAAAGGGGCTTCACTTTTCTTCTCGGCCGTGGGTTGTTTTTTTCCTGTTTCCCTCAAACAGGAAAGCCAGCCACGCTGGCCCATATTTCACCCCTGACAGTCCCTTCCATCACTGGAACAATAGCCCTGCGCGGCTGACCAGGGTCACAAGCGCGCGGGCGCTTTCCCAACACTGCGGTATCGGCAGAAAACATCAGTCTCTATCTCCGATTTTCTTCCTGTGATTCTCTTGGCAGAGCCCTCTCAAGCCCTGGCTATTTCACAGAATAACTACAAAATCCAGGCAAAAAGTGACTTCGCTGAGTGCTGAACAAAGAGCCCAGATGTAAAACGTCCATCTGGATACAGCCTTGGCAGCGCGAGTTCGCTGCATTACAGACAAGATCCTGTATTGATCTATAGATAAACTATCAGGAAAGGGGTCCTTTCCTTGCAATCCACCCTCATCGCAGTGGATATAAAAATAAAATACCCTGTCTCTGTGTATGGAGCACATATGTCCTTTCCACATGGGAGACCCCATTTCCTGCCACAAGTGTCCCAAGGCCAGCTGCAATAAATACAAGCGGTTCAGCTGGGCAAAGAAGCGCAGAGTTACAGGCTCAGATGAACTCCGACAGACCAGAAGAACTCGGCAACTGAATTTAAATGAATTATTCCTGTAGCAGACTATGCACGAGGTATGAAATAGTTTGTGCAATATTTCAGCCACCCGAGATGGGAAAGAGCACGAGGTTTGACCCGGTGTTCTCAGACACCAGAACAGAATCTTTCGGGGCACGGATAAAAGCCAGAGAGAGTGCAGGAGGCACAGGATGAAGGAAAATAAAACAACCCCTTCGCAACCTCTGCCTGTAAAGCACTGCACATTTTAAAATCCCAGAGAAAACAAACAAAAACCACCACCAACAACACAGCAATGCTAAAATGTACTAAAATAAAAGCCATACAAACCCCAACTTGGCTAGCTTAAATGCACTGTTACTAATATTAATATGAACCTTCTCAATTTAAGTCTTGATTTCTTAATATTCATTTTTTTAAGTAAGCTAATTAAGTTTTTGAATGTGCATTTTTTGTATTTTTGTGAAGAAAGCAAGGAAAGAAAAAAGACCAAAGCTCTTCAGCTGAAAGGGCTTTTAAAACATCTGTCATCGTAAACGTGTAAAACAAAAACAGGCAGCAGTGAATTCCCTGTCTTTATTCACTGTGCCACCCAGCAGAGGCAAAATTCATGCTCTGCAAGTTTCTCTAGGAAGCATTTATTGCAGAGATTTTTTTAATTAAAAAATTTGTTTCAATTTTTAAAAAAGGGAACGGGAGACTAAGTCGATGACGCCTGAAAAATGCATCTACTCAGCAGACTTGGAGCATTTTTCCAAAAAGAGGAGCGCAGATTGCAGCGGTGAGATGAGTGAAAGGGATGCAGAGCGAACACCTGAAAGATCCACTGACAGCACTTGTGCCGGAGGTACTCGATGGCTGTTTACACCAAGTGCCATCTGGCTGTATAGATATAATAACAATTATTCCATCGAGGTATGCGGCTCTCTAAATCATATTAATATACAATGATTCCACTAGTCTTATAGGACTTGCTGTTTCTGTGTGCTCCCATTTAACCTGGGTAATGCGCTAAAACAAGCCTGCCTCATCATTAAGAATTGATTTTTTATTTATGTGAATGTCGCTTGCAATCCCATGATATCCCTTTGTAATTCAGGAGAACAGGGGCTGCATCCCTGTGTTAATCTCGTTTTATGGCGTATCTTTAAAAATTTGCAGCATCTTGCTGCATTTGGATATTTATGTTGTGATTTGTGTCCTCACACAAGGCTGCTGTTTTGCTTCAGAGATCTATTTCACACGGCACCGGCGCAAAGTATCTAATATACTTCATTAGCTATATTACATCAGATAAGGGTTTTATTTCTTTAAATTATTTAACCTTGGTAGAGCCCACTGGGACCACATAAATTACAGCCCCACTAATGAAAATCATTCGTTAGGCTATTCAAAAAGCCAACAGGAAAAGAATTAAATATATTTTAAAATCAACTCTTTAATATACTTGAAATCTTAGACATTTGATAATTCAGCACAATCAACTGTTTTCTCACATCATTGCTGATTAGAGCTCGGTACTGAAACCTCTGAGCCAGCTATATAACATTTCTGCAGAATATACGGTTTTTCCCTCTTGTTTCCGAGTCTTTTGAAAAGCTCCTCTGCTGCCTTCCAAAGGAGAGCAGACTATTAAACACCTTTTTATCATCATCAGTAGAGGCAGAATTTAGTTCCTAATTACAGAAATAAATGTCAAACACTTGTGTGTCTTTTCTGAAGGCTGGAGCACGTGATCCAGCCACGGCGAGCGGAGGCGCCAGCGCTCGGCCCCGCGGCAGGGCCCTACCTGCGGCTGCTGGAGCCGCGCCGGTGCCGGACCGGGGCTGGGTCTGCACCGGGCAGGGGGGTCCGGGGGCGAAGCAGAATTAGGTGCACGTGCTCCGGTTGTTATCTGAGCGTTAAGTAATAAAAATGGCACATTTAATTCAGACTCTCCCCGACTAAGTATCTCATGGGGGACATCTTTAATAACACCTTCCACCATCCATATCACTATTATGGTAAACGTTGCTGCGTTAGTTTAAGTTACTCATTTGTTGTCCGACCTTTATGAAGCACAATTGTGAAACCTGCCGTTTGGGCTGGTGGGCTTGGTCAGGCTCCAGGCACGCAGAGCATCGCAGAGCTTTTGGAGGATATGAGAGAAGATGATGAGATTTTCGCATGTTCTCATGAAAAAAAGGCCACAGAAACCATAGCTCCCTTTTTTTGTCTTTGCTTTTTCCAAGCATTTAAGAAGAGAGTTGAACACCACACACACACACCCCACGCACCAAAGCAACCCTAACAGGGGGTTCGGAGCACAAGGGCTTGGGCACAGGACAGGTCCCAAGCGGTGCCGTGGCACCTTCCCGGGCTCCTGTGCAGGTTTATCCCCATCCTGAGAGGGAACCGGCAGAGGAAAGGGAACATGAGCTGCAACCACCCTCCTCCTCCTCCCTGCCAGCAATCAAACCAAGCTAGCTGCAGAAAGACACAGCAAAAATAAAAATCATGAACAGGGACAATGTGGGGATGACAGAAGCCCTAGAGCTGCGGTGCCCTGGAAGTGGAACCACCTCCCCAGGAGATGGGCAGTGCCCATGGATCTACTGGAGCCTCCCGGGGGGTCTCAGGGTGGCTCAGGGCCACCCCACAGCGCCCGGCCAGCCCTGGCCACCGTTGGCCACCTCCAGCCCTCGCGAGCAGCCTGGGAGCAAGGCAAGGACTCTGCTGCATTTCGGAGGCGTCAGCAGCCAGATAATGCTCTTGAGAAGTGGTCAGAGTCTGGGCTGCTCTCCTGAGCTTTGCTAGAACCCGGAGCAACTTTACCAGAATAAACGAGAGCCAAAAGAGACTTCAGCCCTCTCGCTCCATGGGTGAAACGAGAGGCGGCTGCGCCCTCGTCTCCGAGCGGGCACCGGCTCTTCCTCGCTCCGAATGTAGGATCACGCGCCGCTGTGACCCCTATAAAACCCCGGGTTTAAAATGGTGATTTAAGAATGGCAGTTCAATTTCCCAGCTCCTATAGATTTAAAATCAGAACCCTGTAGAAGCCAAATGTATTTTCCCTGCTTTAATTACTGCACCTTAGTTTGTTTCAAAGGGCTTTTATTTTATTTTTGTTAAACCTGTAAAATATGCCCAGCACAGAGTTAGCTTTAACGTTCAGCTGATAAACCATGAAAAACATGGGGTTTGCAATGAAACTGCTGACAGCAACAGTAAAGACAGAGCACTGCCATTGGGTGTTGCTGCAATTTGCCTTCTATGGCTGTCTTTGAAACAAAAAAGCTCCACACGCAGCATGCAAAGAAGTTACAAGTGTGCCTGTGTTGGGGGCTGAGGGAGGGGGAACGGCACATGTAAGACGAGAAGGGCGGGTGGTCGTGGCAGTGGGAGTGGGGGAAACTGCAGATCAATCATTTATAATTAACAAAAATCCGATTGGTGCTTTAAATAGAGATCAATGTGTTGCAGGCTGAGTGGATTGCGAGGATGTATTCACCTTCTCGTAACTCTCCTAGCAAGCTGTCACACCTACAGAATCACCATTTGTTTTGTTAACAAAGCTTCAGGGGGCGCCAGGCTCTCATTGAAATTTCATTAATCTAATGGAGTAAAGTCCTATAGAAAAAAATCAAATTCTCGTTGGGCGAGATGGTACCTGGGAAAGATAACCTCTGTTTGAACTCCCCGACTCTGATCGCTCTGCTATTAGTCTGAGGAAATAGACAGCAACTAGGATGATTACAGCCACCGGCCTCGGCGCTCCCCCCTTCTCTCACCACCCCCGGCCCTAACCAGCAATTCCCAGCGCCAGCACCCGGCTGCGGTGGTGGGGAGGGGGCCGGGGCGGCCGCGGCCCCTGGGGCGCAGGGCAGCAGACACGGCCGGGTGCCCTCGGCACTGGGTGCAGGGGGGCAGCAGGGCAGGCTCTCGGCGGGTGCCCGGCATATCCAAACCCTCCCGTGGTGCCGTCCTTCCTGGCTCC